CACACCCTCCCTCCAAACCCCTCACGGGTTCCCTTAGGAGCAGTCGGTAGGTACTAAGTCCCCAGCCCATTGCCCGGAGCACCCGCACCCCACTAGCATTTTGGCAAGCCCTGCCGCTTACGTGGAAGCCCGGCGTCGATCCCACCGATCCCACGCCAGTGTGCGCTGGGGTCTGCACAACCCGAGATACGCTCCTCAGCCCGACCGCAACCCCCTCCTCCAGCCCAGGGCAAATTCGCGTCCCCGTGCGAGGCTGCCATTCGGGAACGGGGACTCACCTGGGGAATGGGGGGTAGGAAGTACCCCGGGGGGGGCTGGAAGGAGCCCAGGAGAGGGCCAGGCAGGGCCCTCATGGTGGCTAATCTCTGCATGTACTGGTTGGTGAGGATTGCTTTCCGCTCCTCTTTCCTTTGAGCGAGCGCGACGTAGAGAGGCTTAGTGCTGACGATCCGCCCGTTCATCTCCGTCACGGCCTTGGTAGCCTCTTCTGGGGAGGAAAAACATACAAATCCAAACCCTTTGCTGTGGCCACCCTCTGTCATCACCTAAAATTAGATTAGAACAAGACAGCTAAGTCCACGGATCACTGCAGCACCCATGAAGCACGGCGCAGTGTGGGGAGGGGGGCATGGGACCCACCAGCCACAGACACCCCATTGCAGCCCCCATGTCCTGGGTGGAACAGATGGGGCTGTACCCATGGGGCTCCATGGAGAGGCTTCTCCAGGGAAGGGGAGGATTTGCATGGACAAAACCAACAGGTTTGGGAAATGAAGAAGGCAGAGAGAGTCTGGGCCAGCCCAAGACCTGCAGCCCATGATCTTCCAGGGGGTCTGTGCCCCAGCCTCGCCGGGCCCACGGGCCAGCAATGCTCCGGTGCTTAACGCTGCAGGAGCCAGCGAGGGCTGGGGAGCAGGAGGACACCATGCCCTGCCTGAGGGCCAGGCAGCATCTGTCCCTGGCAGCTGGCCTTAAAGCCAGATCATCCCTCCGCACCCACACGCGCAGCCTTCAAGAGAAGCTTGGCACCAGTCTTGGTGGCAAGAGTGTCACATCAGTCCCAAACCACGGAGCTGTGCAACAGTCAGAATGATGTGGCTTTAAGGTCCCGTATCCTGCACCCACTGGGGCTGGGGTAACTCAGCAAAGGTACAAAGTATTTGCTGAATCAATAAGCTCCTCAGGACAGCGTTGGGTACAAGCGGCATGTCCTTCACACTTGGCTTGAGATACAAGCCATCAGCATGGAATCGTAACTCAACAGGACTATAACCTCGATCCATTTCCAAGGGCTGAGCACACCGGCTGGCTGACCCCGGGAGCCCCAGCGGCAGCCCTGGGCCCTCACCTTGGCACTGGTGATGGTGCCGTAGGGAGAGAACTCCTTCCTCAGCCTCTCGTCATCTATCCCATCATCCAGGTTCTTCACGTACAGGTTGACCCCCTGCAAACAGGCAAAACAGCAGCTTGGGCTCCCAAAGTTTTTGAGCGGGATGTGTGTTTCACCAGCAGCTCAGCCAGAGGGTGGGACATCCCACAAACACATCCTCTCCAGAGCTGCTGAAGGACCGGTGACGTGGAGAGGAGCCAGGACCGCACGTCTGCTCCACTTGTAGGTGAGACACCCCAAGCACAGAGGACACCCAGACCATTGCTATAAAGCTGCTCCAAGACCTCAGGCAGCTGCCTCACTTCCAGACTATTATTTTAGTTTTTGGAAAAGAGCAGACCTGTTTGTTCACCTGCCAACATCATCCTGGGTTTAGATTTCTCTCCTCTTTCCTGATACTGTTTCCCAGGACATTACCAGGCAGTGACTGGACCTCTGTGCAGGTCTGTCTTAATTGCAGAAGAGACCCAGCACACTGATCTGTTCTGGAGAGCCCTGTGCTGTCCCCAAGCCGAGGATGTTCCCGGATGCCCGGGCCACGTCCCTGCTGCAGACCTGCAGGACAGAGCATCTCGCTCTCCCCTTACCTGGTACCTGCTCACTCGCTCCTGCTTGATCTGCTCAAATTTCCGCTTCAGCTCGCTCTGGCGTTCCAGCCGCTTCTGGGCTCAGCCCACATACACCATCCGCCCATTGATCTCCTTCCCGTTCATGTCGGCCACCGCCTGCCAGCGGAGAGAAGGGCTCTGAGCCCAGGGGGAAGCCAACGGCCATGGCTCAGCTCTTCACCCACCACCCCAGTCCAGCCCCACCACGAGCAGAGACCTCCCTGGGCAGGGAAGCAGCTCTGCTCCCCTTCACCATGTCCTGCCCATCCAAGCACCCCTGCCAGCACCAGCACACAGGCAAACACAAAGACGATGAGGTTTCCCCCCCGAGGAGAGGTTGGAGCATCAGCAGGGAACAAGCTTGGTGCCGAGACAGCAGATGGAGAGCCAGGAGCCTCTTGCCTTCTGGGCTTCTTCGTGCTTCTCAAAGTTGACAAACCCAAAGCCCTTTGAGCGGCCAGCGTTGTCCATCATGACTTTGACACTTAGCGTCTTTCCTGCAAGAAGAAAGGAAAGTATCTGTCTGAAGGACAGAGGGGTGCTGCTGGCATCATGCTCAAGAGCCACCATGAGAAGCCAGTCCAGCGAGGAGACCGGATGGCCACAGAAGCACAGAAGAGCCAAACATCAGGACAGACATCAGGAGCTCCCACCCTGGATACTGCTCTCGGCTTTTCAGTTTCTCCAGCCAGCACATTGAGTTCCTTTGGCCACAAGTTCTCATCTCCTTTACCATGAACACATCTATTGGGTTCGTATGAAGGGCATTCACAAGTTATCTGAGGGAACGCTGGCCAAGCACGGATAGCGTGGTCTGTGGGTTGGCACAACGCTAAACCCTGTCGCAAGAGGCATCCTCCAGTAATGGACTGAACTGAAAAGTCTTTTTATGCTATAAATTCAGACTCAGCATCTCTTATTCCCAGGGCTCCTATAACCAGACAGCACAGTGGTTTCAAGACAATTTCAAAAACTAACAAGACAAAAAAAAAAACCCAACACCACATTTTTGTTACCCAAGAAAGTACAAAAACTTCTTTTTTTCAGGAGAGAACCTAATACAAGTTATCTTCCATCATTGCAGGAAAGCACATGTAATGCCCTGATGATTTAAGCCACAGCAGCCCTTTGGTGACACGTTTGAGCGACTCAGATCCCATTGAGAGAAGGGCTCGGTATTGCTCCAACTCCAGTTTATCAGACATGAGGATATTCTGCTTCAACAACTGTACTCACCAAACTTGGAGAATATTCCCCGCAGTCTGTCGTCATCCATGTCATCCCCAAAGTTTTTAATGTAGACGTTGGTGAACTCCATCGCTCGAGCCCCAAACTCAGCCTCACGCTCTTTGCGGGATTTGAAATGGCCAACAAACCTGCAGGAAGCACGGAAAGGGACCTGAAACCCTCCATGTCCCCTGCAGAGAGAAGAGGGACACAGGCACATCTGTCTCGGTACAGACCAAGAGAGACCTCGTCCCCTCAGGCTGTGCTTTGCTCACCCACAAACCCACCGCGTGTTTCACACCCGGCAACTTCAGCACATCCCACTCTGGTGTTCCCCTACCCAGACCCCACTTGGTACTACTGAAATGGGGAGAGTGGTAACACAGGGCACAGCCCCATGCTGGGGATGTCACCGCAGGAGACCCCAAAAGACCCCAAAGGATGCCACCAAGTGCCAGCTCTCTTCCTCCAAGGTACCCCCAAGCCCCTTGGCCAGCCGCCCGCCTCTGCTGAGACAGGGATGTAGAGAATAAGGTGATGCAATGTAAGCAGAGAGCTGAAGAACAACAAAAGCTCTTCCTGCCCAGGTTATCCGATGCTGACAGCCAAGATTGGGGACCAGCCCTGCTTTGTGGGCACTCAGCAACAAAACGCAGCCCGGGGTTGGACTCTTTCAGGAAGGGCTCCAAACCACTATCACACTTCCACCAGCATCGACCACGAGTGACTCACTGCCTCAGAGAGCAGCAGAGCTGCCGTGCCCAGCGGGGATGGGATGGGAAGAGGGGAGCAAATGGAAAGCAGCAGGAGATGGCAGCCCGAGCAGGGCAGGTGTTTGCTCCCGAGCGTGCACCAAGGCAAGGGAGGAGCAGAGCGAAGCGCAGAGCGGAGGAGACGCTCTCCTCTCCGGCACTTACACCTTCCGGTCGTTGAGCAACATCCCGTTCATGGTCTCGATGGCCCGAGTCGCTGCCTCGTGAGTCTCAAAGTGAACAAAGCCATAGCCACGGGATCCGTTTTCATCACAAACCACCTACAAACGCAGAGCGGAGAGGGGAAGAAAAAAAAAAAAAGGGGAAAAAAAAAAGACACAAAAACCAGACACCGGTTTTCTCCACATTTGCACATGAGTAAGTGGCAGGAAAACTCACCCTCATTTTCCAGGGGCATTTGCCCTCCCTGACATCCCACTCCCGCTGCAGCTGAGCGGTGTTGGCAGCAAGTCAGGGAGCCAGGCGAGCCCAGGACCAGACCCCCGGTGTTTTACATGATGCCCAGGAGCTTGCGGCTCACCAAGACCCAAGCGCCACCGATGCACTGAGCTCAGACAGGACAATACCCAACATCTCCATGCAGGGACTGGGAAGAAGGGTGGGCTGGGGAAAAAAGCTCCAGCTCCCAGGGGAAACATAGCAGGGCCTTTTGGCTTCAAAGCAGGTGGGAATTTAGAGGAAACTTTGTGGGAAGCGAAACAAGAAAGTGGATTTCGGCTGGCAGGAGCATGCTGCCGAGAACGCAGGGCAGCTCTGCAGCAAGCCCTTTTCTGCAGGGCCCACGGGCATGTGTACCTTGCACGACAAAATGTTTCCGAAGGCGGAGAATGTGTCGTACAAGGCTTTGTTATCGATGGAGTCATCCAGGTTCTTGATGAAGACGTTTCCAACCCCCGACTTCCTGAGCCCGGGGTCCCGCTGGGACCACATAATGCGGATGGGACGGCCTTTGATCACTTCAAAGTTCATGGTGTCCAGGGCTCGCTCAGCTGGCAAAGAAGCAAATACAGGGGGAGAGAGGAGAGTAACAGAGACAGGGCCCCTTCACACCCTACAGCAGCTGGGGCAGGCACAGGAATAGGGCTGGACAGGGGCTCCTTAACCGGAGACAGGCAGCTCTGCCTCCCAGG